GTGTGTGTGCATGCATGAGTACGTGCGTGCGTGCGTGCGTGTGTGTGTGCATGCATGAGTACGTGCGTGCGTGCGTGCGTGCGTGCGTGCGTGCGTGCGTGAAGATTCCTCACCATTTCGTCTTCGTCCCATTTCTGACGCACACCTCGTGGTACGGGCGACTTGGCAAGAGACTTCAGCGCACGTCCTGTATCATACACACTGTTGTGCAACTGCAAGGCAAGCATAACACAGAATCTCAGATTTGCAAGGCCTACAGAACGTATGTACGTATGAATGTGGTGATGGGCAGATGGATGGACGGACATATGGACGGACGGACGAACGGACGGAAGGGACATCCACCCATTAATCCATCCAGCCACGCGAGTGAGAGAGGAATTGAACGAGAAAAAGAAGAGCGAGCGCACGATAGGGATACATATAGACGAGCAATACAACGTATGATTCGTGCGCAATCCGCCATGAAGAGAACTTTGAATAGCTCCGCAACGACTCTGCTTAACGGAATAAATAACGCCCTACCGCATCTGACAACAGTTAGCGGTTGAACAAAAAAAATGCCAACGCAAAGGGAGAGACATACGGCCATGTACAGATACATGCATCGCACCTACCATCTGACACTATCGTTACAGCGCGCAGCGTTACGTCTTCGAGATGAAACACAAGAAAAAGTGAAGCTAACAAATTGCCGAAAGCATGCGAGCAAGTGAAATTAACACGGCATTCATTCAGTGAAAACCGCAGCTTCAGCAATCCACGATCAGCCCCAAAAACGAGGCCAAAATACATTCGCGATTACTACTAACAGGCTTGTTCTACGTGACTAGAGACTCTAGCATTTTACTAACGGTGAAAGCTGACAGCCAAGCTGGCAGCAGTTGTTGATAGGATTGGTGGGGTGGGGAGGGGGGGGATATATAGCCTATGACCGCACAAAGAAGGCCAGAGCCCGACATCGCTAATTCCCCTCCTTACAATCCCTTTATGCGAAAATCTTTCTCATGTGCGGTGGGAAGAGCCATGGGTGGTGGCTGTGGGCGGGGTCGCAACCACCTCCTATCGCTGTCTCTTAATGAGCATTGGGGGAGATTCGCGGGAGAACCGTTAAGCTGCACACTCACTACCCATAATAGGTTCGCATTTTGAGAAAGCTCGGCGCCTCATGGCTTTTAGAAAACGAAGTAGACGACAATTTTAGAATTAGAGATTAAGCGCGAGCGTACGAGGTTTCAACAAGGTACGAGGTATGAACAAGGTCTCATTCCATTGTTTTGAGTTTCGCCTTCCGAGTGGAAAACCAGAGATGGCACATTCCACCAACTTATTATTATTATTATTATTATTATTATTATTATTATTATTATTATTATTATTATTATTATGCACAACGCCCATTCATGGACCCCCGTGCGACTATCAATCTTCGCAGATCCCCTAGATTTGACTTCTAAGCGTTAACTGCCAGAGCGCCAGACACGACTAATAGATGCATTCCCACGGCGTCTCTGTAAGCTCGGCTCGTCAGCGAAATTCACAAGGCTATTATCACCGACTGCTGTTAATTCAATATCGACCTAATCGATCTTAACCTAACAGTCGCTGATCCTAGCGGAGGAAAGGTGGCAGGACAAATCGATAACCCCAAGATGCTCTGGGTACCA